GAATAAAAAAAAGGGATAAAGAGAGAGAGAGACAGAGAGAGAGAGAAAGAGCGAGGGAGAGAGAGAAAGAGAGAGAGAGGGAGAGAGAGAGAGAGAAAGAAAGCTTCAACGAATCTTGAGAATTGCATGTATGACATTTCGCCCCCTCATTGCCTAGACACATGTACCAAACAGCACCTGTTTTTTGTATATATTTCATAACAAAATGAAGAAGCTAATGACATGACCAATATTTTAGGTTATTAATATCTGAAAGAAGATTAGTTAGTGATCATATCAGGTGATCATGTTTTGATTGAAATGAATGGATAAAAGTCACATATTATTTGGGACACATTAACACATTGTACATTGCAGATTTGTCTTGTTAGGTGGCTTAGCGTGTTATGTGTTAAGAAGGCACAATGCACAACCTTCAATGATCATGAAAGAATGAATGCTGACTATACAAATGATCCATGGAAAATGAGAGAAACTCCCACAAATTGACAGTTCATCGTAACAAGACATTCTTGATTTTTAACATGCATGTGCAGAATTGCAAATAACTTTCGAGTAGAAAATTTCATTCTCAAAAAACATACGGAAGGAAATGATTAAAGGCAGCATAATTTCCTGCTTCATGTCGTTGGAGCCTGAAAGATATTAACCCTACAATCTACACGTATGTCAAAGTATATGATTTAACACCCTTCTGGCTCTCAGCAGACTATTCATTACTACTTATTTAAGACATGTAGATAAATATACACGCACTTTATCATAATACATGTACAGTTAACAATTACATTATTATCATACCCTAACCCCTGCCTTACCAAGTTGTGTAATGGTTTAAGTACGAGGATTTAAGCAGTTGATTTGAATGTCCAACTTTATCTTTCTTGAGAATGTTTAGGCTTAATTAAAGCCCCACTGTCCTACTTGTAGGTACTTGCTCCCGCTATATAGAAAACTTCCCCAATTGGTGCTTGTTGGTCCCCCATGATCCTCTTTTTCTTATGTTAGTTGAGAGCTGGGTTAATGAGATAGCCACCTGTCAGTGACCTCACTGTGTGGTCTAATCCCTTCTGGCCCAGTAGTGGTGACGGTCTTTAATTTATATTTCTTGACATATTAAAGCTTCATCTAAAAGTATTCAAGAAAGGCGCTAATCGAACCAACTTTTTTCATTATCATTTTACGAAAACAAAATATTATTTACAAGGGTTATGAATATTTTAGTTCTTAATTGTATGTTTTTATGAATAATCCACGTACTTTTTATAAAAGTACATGTTCATGTTTTAGACACCCTCCTGGATCTGATAAAGAAGAAGATTTCTTCCTCATCATTGACCTGCAATTGACAAGAGACTCCAGTACGTTCATGTACTACAGTTGTTTTTTATATGCTCTCAAAAATTATCATGAAGCCATTGTGTTAGTAAATTTCACTAAATCAAGCTTTAAATAGTTTTAATTTCTTGCAACAGTTATAATTTTTACCAAAACAGACGAAGGTCTGCACCATTCCCGGTGGAAAATACTGACATAATTGTCGTTTCCTATTTACCCTCCCACCCAAGAGAAAGGGTAGTAATGACATATCAAAACCTTGTAACAATTTAAAATTTAAAATATGCAGCAACATAAATATATACACAGCAACACCATTGCCATCATCAATATATGTCTTTTAGAGAGAGAGAGAGAGAACCAAAACAATTTGAGATTTGTCCAATATTTGTAGTGATCCACATGACTTTTGTATAGTCTACCAAAACTCAAAAGGACATTATCATTTAAAGCCAAACTAGCAGCATCCCATCTAGCGCCATCTCATGTCAGCTGTAGCAGTATAGTCGCTATAATCGCTACGCTGTTGGTTGTACTGGGTTACGCACTGTTGACAAGTTGACCATGATATGACGCTGTGCAACAAACAGTACGTTAGGGCAGAAGGTTCACCTGTTCAGTGTTGCTTGTATACACCCGTCACAATGACAAACCAACTCCACATCGACTCTAACCCGAACGATTCTGGGCAATTGGAGTTCATGTACGCCTAATATTTTGTTCAGTCTGGATACTGTCTTGTGTTGGTCTTGCTGGTTTTAATGCCCTTCTGGCAAATTAACGCCTCTTAGCTCTCCATTAATCTAGTATATAAGTCACGTGACCCATCAGATTGTAATTTGATACAGCTAGTCACGAAATATTTTAACCCTTTCAGGACAGGATTTATTTTGAGGGTTACATTGATCGCATATTGTTGTTTTGTATATTGTTAACATAGATGAAATGTCCCATATTATAAACATATACACGGTTGAGAATCTTGTTGGAAATTTGAAGAAGAAAAAAAGGTCAATCTTAATCTGAAAACATTGAATGTGGATTTCTCAAGGTATTGCCAATTTAAAGATTTGTTTATATATTTTGTTTTATTCCTGATATGAAAATGTTATTTATTTATAAAATGAACATATAAATCGTGTTGCAGAAGTTTTCGCCCTTTCTGGAAATATTTTTTATGAACACGATTTTTATGAACACCGATCGACTGTATGATTATCAAAATATTTACTATTAGAAATCGAAACCGAATTTTGCGTTTTCCTAACAGTTGTCATAACTCTTCAGTCTTTTGGGGTGAACGAGTATGGTAAAACTGGTCACTCAAAGATTTTTACTTTTTGAGGCACATCTTGATCATTTTGAAGCGCAACTTTTGTTAAGGGCTTCAATATTGCAATATATGACAGACACTGATAACACGTAGGGACGTGCATCTTAGATTAAACATTGTTAAACGATGCCATTAACCCAAATAAGGCCCCTCCACGATTTTTCCGATTGCTCAGGAACGCATGTGGATTGCGCCCTGCCGCTCGCTGACTTTTTTCTTTTGAGTCTTGCGCAACTTTTTAAAGCATTTTTTGAGAATCGGACCTACGGTTACAAGGTCACGTGACCTTTTGTTTTTGCATGTCAGCCCAAAAATCGCTCATTTTCGTGATTTGTGTACAAGACATATGGAAAAGTTATTTTTCCAAAAAGCAGATCAAACGTGGGTTATTGGGTGTTGTTTAAAGTTTAGGTGGTTGTTTTGGGAGTCAAAATTGTTGAATTGTAGTAAGAAATGAAATAAAACAACAACAACAATGAAATACATAAGAAATTATCAAAACAAGGGATAACATAAGGAATCAGCTGGCTCTTTCAAATTTTGTTGTCGTATTATTTTTCAGAATGGTCCAATGAATATACGAAGTGAAAAGAATGCTTAAATATGAATAACATATGATTTATAGGTAAAAATGTGATTTTTATGACTTTATTTGCATAAACTACCATAAATATGCAAATGAGGGGACTTTTCAAAAAAATGAAATTATCGTATTATTCTATACACTTCACTTGTCATGCGTGCAAATTTTCGCGGTGATCGGCCGCTTCGCAGCCGAGATCTAAAGGGGGGCCATAATGCCCCCCCCCCCCCGGCCGTACTAAGACCTCAAATAACCCGGCCTTTTTAGGGTTATATAAATACATTTCTTATATAGACTTTTAATTCCTCTTATAATTTCATCATTCAATGACTAGCATGCATCATTGACGATGTACACCAACCAAGACATATACACAATAAGTCTTTTTTATTCAATATGACACATCGGACAGAACACATGCATGTTTTAATATTGATCCATAGCTTAACCTGTCTTTTCATAGAGCCTAAGAGGCTAACGATCTTTAAACATCACTTTTTTCTTATTTTTAGCTGCATGACCAACATTTTTCAACCGGATGCAATGTCAAAAGATCATATTAATTTTCCGGAAGCAACAATCTATTCCAGTACGTGAGAATGTTTGTGAAGTCTGTTCTAATCACTCGCCGAACAAAAATCGACCTTGTTTAATTTCCTTTGCGCAATCTCTTTTTTACCCCTGAGCTGTAATAGCCTTTGTCACTTATGCATGTTAAAATCTTGATATACTTCGCTAATGATATTCCTGTGGCGTTGGGTACACATTGAAATGTGAATACGAATATTGCTGTTCTGTGGACTTGACATCGTTCATTCCTATGCGACTATACGTTATCAAGGGGTAAGTTTATCATTCTCATAGTTTGTTATAGAACCTGCAGTATAAAATTCTTACGTACAGATTACAGGTCATAATTATAAATAGGGATTACGTGAGGCCAATTAGACCTGATAACTATCCATACATATATCTACACATTTTGTTAGCATAAGTTTGTCTACAACTACCATACAACTAGTACATAGCGACCACTAAGGTATATGCAAAGTGGATTCCAGTCAAAGAGATGCCCTTATTTACAACAGGTGTCTGAAATGGCTAATAACCAGGGGTTATGGATAGAAACATGGATATTTCAATACAATAGTCAGCGTGTATATTTAGACCATGGAGATATTCTTATATCTCCATGTTTAGACCGTACATAAGTGCGTTATTATGTACAACTTTTGTAATTTACCTTACATCTTATTTTGTTAAAGCATGGACCTATTACGGATTGACATTTATCGTTTTCTTAACGAATTCATTGTGATTGTCTCCGTCAATGTCGTCTCACTAACATGCCGTACTTGTTTCTTCACTTTGATCTCATGAAGGTTACCGCCAAAAAGCCGGGACAGAATGAAGATAGTGATTTTGAGGTTTTTTGTATGTATGTATTTTAGAGCAAACACAAACACCCCCCCCCCCCCTCGTATTTTTTTGTTTTATTACCACAAAAATAAAAAATAGTGTCCTCTTACCCCCCCCCCCCCCCCCCCCCCCCCCCCAGCTGCTTGCTGAGTCGTTGCTATTTTTGTATAACAAAAACCAAAAAGAAATGACCTCTCACCGATCACTCCTAAACTCCCCTCTTCTTCTCTCGTGCTTCCATCCTCTCTCCTTATCTTTCTCCCTTCATTTCGCCCACTGTCTTTCCCTCCTCCATCCCTCCTACCACAATTCAATACTCAGATCAGGATGGCGGCGAACTTCAGCTCTGCAGAAGACATCTGTGATAGAGAGAACTGTCAATCATTCACAAATGTGACGTACTACGTGAAGGAGAAGAAGAAGCTCTGCGATGACAGCACCTCCAAAGAGGAATGCATCGGAAAAGCTAGAAAGGGTAGGCCCAATCTGTATTGTGAGAAGCATGATGGTGAAGAAATCAAACTGTATTGTAAAACACATAATGTAGCAGTGTGTCAATTATGCGCAATGATATATCATCAGCAACCTTGTATGCGACAGGATATAGAGGGCGCCATCTTGGATATTAGAGTAAAACTAAACATTCTAAAAGAAAAGGTAAATGACAAATTGGAGGTTTGTCGAGTTTATGGAGATCAGATTCATCAGTGTAGGAAAGACACCGACACCTATCTACAAGCTTTGAAAGATGAAGTTGATTCGGTAATCAATGAAGCGATCCAAACAGAGAAAGACAAAGAGAAGGAGGATGCTGCAGAAATCAACCAGGAGATTGATGAGAAGAATCAGAAACTTCAAGATGAGATTAAACAAATCAATAAAAAGATGCAAAAGAACGATGAGGAGAGAGAGAAGCGACTTGAGCTAAACCATTATAATGCAGAGAAAAGACGAGAACCCATTAACAACAAACAGCATGTTCTGCAAACAGACATTCAAAACATCGCTGAAGAGAAAGAGAAAAAGATTGGACAGTTGGAGATATCTTGGCAAGATAACACGAAAACCACAGAGACCACAATTCAGACCCTTCATACAGTACTCAAAGATGATTCAAATGTCGTCAAAGATGGGCATCGTGTTAAAACATCAGTGGGTGATGAATTAAAGAAACCAATGAATGAGGGTGAGGTGAAACAAATCACTGAGGCTTTATCGGTTGTGAGGTTTGTGAAGGGTGCTGGGAGAAAGAAGTATGATGGGAGAATGGATGGGTATGATGGGGAGTGGACGCTCATTGATACAATCAATGTCAGTGATAAAATCACATACCCAGCCGTTGTAGGATGCATTAATGAATACAATGTGATCATCACAGATGAAGATAGCCTACATACTTACATGTTAGATATTGACACTAAAAACAGTCAGAGAGTGATAACCAGTAGTGATACATCATGGGTTACCTCCTGTGAACTGCTGAATGATGACAAGGTAGTATGCGGTAAATACGGTAAAGGGTGTACAGGAGAGAGTTTGACTGGATGCATCGATGTTTATGACAGACAATGGAAGTACATCAATGACGTCACAATACCAAGAAACACGACGCGTAATGAAACAAGGGTGGATGTAGCTGTTGACCAGTATGGGATGATCATCGCAGCTGAGTTTGGTCAGTCTAAGATATACGTCATCAACCCTGCTGATGGTAAGATTATGAATACCATCACATGTAAACAGAATATAATAATGCGTGGTGTACTATCATCAGGTCACATCATTGCTCAACCCTACCCAGAAGATCACAGAGTGTTCATCATCGACAGACAGGGTGGCCAAAGGGAAATCCCCCACAGTGGTGTCATCCTGAATGCCTGCATCGATCCAATGACAGACGACCTCTATGTCGTGACATTAGATGATGGAAGCAAGACGTGTGTGATTGATCAGGTGATGAGTGGGAGTGATATGAAGAAGAGAAGAGTAGCATTATTCTATCTAGCAACAGAACTGGAATCACTGGAGGAAAGGGGTGGTCACCTAAGATCATCTCGGGTGATGATGACGTCATCAGGGAAACTGATTGCTAGCGATGGAGACAACATTCTCGTGTTCAAAAACAAGTTTTACCTTCTAAATCGAATCCCATGTGAATACAATTCCCCATGTTCATTACGTATACACATGCATGACATACATACATGATATCTACACAATAGTATCTTGATGTACTCATTTCGCTTCAATCTTTACAGACTAGAAAACCCTCATTTGATCATGGTTCCAACAGGTTAAGTTCATAAGATAGCATGACATGATGTCATCACTAGCATCCAAATAATTGCATGCATATCTCAATTGTGTCTTATAACATGTACATAGATAAACAGGATAAACACTTTCCACATGAATAAATGAATCGTTATCATGTCTTTATTTCAAGGAAAAGTATAGCCATACATGAATTTGCATGAGTACAATTACAATTTCCATAATCAGGTGCAAGCCAAGTTTGTACTATGAATAATAAAATACAAAAAGCGGGAGAAAATCTATATATCACTGCTATCAATCTAATTGAAATCAGGTTTGATTATAATTTTCCATTTGCACTTTGTATTAACATGTATGTACATAAACAAATGGTTTGGCTATCACCACTAGCATTACAAAAATTACGTGTTTGTTATTACATGTAGCTAGACTAGATATGATTATATGATATACAGGATAGAAAAATTGTCCCATTAATATATAAAATGTTGTAATCATTTCTTGTTCTTATAAGAAAAGTGTAGCAATAATCATTACCATATTCGGTTCTAGCCAGTTTTTGCAAGTATAATACAACAAGCAAGAGGAAATCGAAAATGCAAAAAAATTGAATAAAATCATAGTGACTCTAGGAGAAAATAAATGACTTTTATTGAAATACTTTAATAATGCAATACGATACAGAGTTTCCTGTTCTGTCAAAATACTATTTGCACGACATTAGCTCATAACATATGTTAATTCGTGCATTATACAGAGATTAAAGAAGATTCAAACTTAGGCATTTTAAATTTGTCTCGTTACATGTTGATATAGTTCATTGTGTTCTGCTAAGAGCAGTCCCCACAGGAGAGCCCCCTTTAATTATATCTCTTTTCCACTCGATATTCTAGCCTTCTTCTTAATTATGTCATATGATCTGTCACATATAAGCTGAAAATTGGAATAATATTAATGTTACCAAATAAAAGAAAAAGGTTGCATAACCTTTCTATTTATCAAGAAACTATTCATATAACATGTTTATATGCTTTAATACACACATAACGTGTACATGTAGATAACTGCATTCTAAAGAGTATTAAGATTTAATTTGTTTTCTTGTTGTTGATTTTTTGTAATGATTTTGTGGTTGAGAGATATGTTAATATTATATGTACATTTACTTTTTTTATGGAAATATCTTACGACAATAAAGGAAAATTAATTGTTAATATACTACGCTGATGTAATCAGTTTAGAGCCCAAAAGGAGTAACCTCTGACTATATACTATGTTACTGTTCTTATATGGCTCAGAAAACCCAACATTTACACGATACACGCTCATTTATAGGTACATGTACACAGCTGCATTACACAAGTACATGTATAGGTATATTTGTTTGAAAACTTTTAATTTATTGATCGTTTTTCAGCTAGAGTAATCGACTAAGCTTTGTTTTCTGGTCATGAGTAAACATGATATTCCTTTTTATGACAATTATGGATACAAATATGGAAAGCAAAAACACTTTCTACCAAACCTACGACTAAGAAATAATTAATGGTACATCTTTCGTCTTGTCAATATCCAGCACACTTCTACACATATTATGCCATAAGTTGCATGTAATTTATCATGTACAAATTCGCATACAAAATGCTCACAACATGTAAACATGTATATAGCTGTATAATACCCAGTATTTTCAAGATTTAACTTTGTTGTTTCACTTTTTTTCTATGAGATTTGTTGTAATGTATATGTAGTTTAAAAGAAGTGATGCTAAAATAATGAAATATGTTGTAAATTGTTGTCATGATCGTCTTACACACTAACAACATGTAAATAGCTGTATACACCGAGCTTTTGAAAAGTAAATTTGTTGATATATCAATTTGGTTTTAGAGATTGTAATATATGCATTTATCCGAAAAGCATTTCTAATATAATGAATAATATAACAACTAAATAGGGCAAAGTCTCATTATCTATCAAGTACTGAGTATTTACATTACAAGTATGCTTGTGATATGTTCATAGTAGAAAGTACCCAGTATTTTGGTAAGATTCAACACTGTTAATGATTGTATTATTATTATATGATATATGTTAATCGTGTACATTTTTTTTGATAGAACATATACTGCGTTATATTGAGTTTGTGTATGATTCAAATTGTTTGCTTTTCATTTGACTACATATGACATGTTTATATTGTATGTATCCAACCAGTATATGTGATAGAAAAATAAATAGGTTGTATAGTCTCTGTATGTAGTTTGATAGAAGAGATGCTGAAATAATGAAAGAAGTTACACAGTTGAATCATCCCACACACTCACAACCTGTACATAGTTGCATTATACTAACTCAGTTTGTATAACATTCAGATTGTGGATTGTTCGTTTCGGTATGTGAAATGTTGATATATGTGTATCCACCAAGTATATATTAAATAATGTTATTAAGTAGGTTGCAACATAGTATCAAGCATTTTTAAGATTCAACACTGTTGATGTTATAATGTTCCTATGGGAAATATCGATGTTTGATAATAGTTTGATAAAACAGATAGTAGAATTATATTATAAGCTGCACAGTATGTCTTCTCTCACAATCACCAAATGTACATTATACTGATTACTGGCTTGTAATATTTAAATTTTAGATTTTGATTTGGCTATTGGACAAGTGTATAGATGTATACAGGTGAAGAACAATGGCGTATGTACATTTTAAAAAGGTATATTCATTACATCAAATAAAAGAACAATGCTGCAAGGTCATGGGGATGATGATGGCTCACAATGTAGTAAATAGCAAGGGTATGTCATCTTCAAGTATCAAAACATTATTTACATTTCGGGTATGCTCATGATATGTACATAGCTGCAAAATACCCAGTATTTGTAAGAATGCAATACTGTTGATTTGATAACTTTGCGATGGGAAATATCAAACTTTGATATAGTTTTCAAATGAATGGACTACGTGTAAGCTGCAAAGTTTCTCATCGCTTAAAACACCGCAAGTAGATCATACTAATTACTTGTAACATTTAAATGGTTTGTTTTCTATTTGCTCTGAGGCGTGATGATACATACATGTATCTTTCAAACAAGTGTTACAACTAATAATATAACAACGCTGCAAGGTCATGAGGATGATATGATGATGATGGCTTGAAATGTATTGTAAAGAGAGGGTTTGTTATCAATGTATCAAGAAACTATTTACATTACAAGTACGCTTATGAAATGTACATAGCCGCATAATTCATAGTATTTGTAAGATTTTTCTTGGTTGATTGCCAATTATTATATGAGATATGTTAAATTTTGTTGTGTAGGTTGATGAAAGAGATGTTATGACAGTAACATAAGCTGTGGTTTCTTCTTTCCATCTCATTCACTCACAGTATAAAGACCACGGCATGTTATGGTATCCAAGTCCGCATACTACCACTGGCAATCACTAATCTTCTTTGCCACTTGAAATGTTATATTCTTTTATTTGTTTGCTTCATTCGTTTGATTATTTTCGGGGGAGGGGTATTCTTCTTTTATCCTCTTGAATGTACAATATCGTTTGTATCGCTGCATGAGTTTATTTCTTGTTTGTTCATTTTGCTTGCTAGTTGATTTCGGTTTGCAGAAGATGAATACAATGAAAATGCTAAACGAATATACATAGTATATATACATAGTATTGTCACGCAGTTTGGTTAAGATATTTGATGTAATATTATGTATATATTTTATTCCATGCTTTAGTCTACTTTACAACTATCCATGATTATTGTACCAGTCTATGTTAAGGATGTCTTGCTATAATAACGCTATTACAAATCCAGCCAGCTCGATCCCAATTGCTTTGCATACAGCGGAGTTCTATTCTCTCCTCACTTTGACCTTGCATTCACTTTCAGAACTTTCATTCTCTCCCTTCTCACTTTGACTTTGCCTGACTTTCAGAACTTTCACTCTGTCCCTTCTCACTTTGACTTTGCCTGACTTTCAGAGCTCTCGCTCTTTCCCTTCTCTCTTGTTTGCCCGAAACTCTCATTTCAACCTTGCACTGTCCTTCAGCCCTTTCAGCTTGCTTCTTGTCTTGACTTTCTCCTGTCCTTGTATCCTCTCTCTCAATATGACTTTGAGCTCTCTATTTATGTGCTCAATGACGCCCTTCTCCCTAAATACTCCGCAGCGCGATACTTGTGACCTACATGACTGGTCTTTCTCCATCTCTCTCGAAGGGTATATAAGACAGACTGCATTCGTATCTTAGGCAGTTAGGAGCGAAGAATCTGTCAGTGAAGAGTGAAACTAGTGAGCTGTCGAGAGTTAATTGTGTCAGTTAGTGTGACAAGCCTGTCATCACAGTGTTTGAAGCGAGAGTACTTTACGAATGGGATAGAGAGCCAACCAGTTCAGAAATGGTCTCCAGTCATGTTAGTCTATCTTTTTAGCCTGTTCTAACGCCTGCTGCATTATTTTGCCTCTCTGATTCGCAAGACATTCTCTTTTATCCATCCTTGTAAATGTGTTTGGGTTTGCTGTAATAAACTCTTCAACTGTAATTCCTGCCTCTCGAGTGTTTATTCTCCCCGAATCTCGGCCATCCCTAACAACTAACCTTCAACATACAACGGGGCTATATTTTGGGACTTTTACTTCCTATATTGTCGAACAATATAAGTCGCCGTTACACTGGTGTCAGAAGTGGGATTCAGACTTTAACACGTGCTTTAAATACGACACAATGTCTCCGAGGAAGCGAAAAGCCGATCTTGAGAGAGAGATCAGGGAGTTAAAGGCAGAACTCAGCATCGCCAAGAAACAAATCGGCGAGCCGAAGGATATCGACAATGACAATGATGCTAGTGAAAATACTGAATGGAGAGATGAAAATGAGGTGTCCATTCACACTGGAGTGAAAGTCCAATTACCACCCCAAGAGCCGTATAATGGTACAGGACGATCATGGGAGAGTTTTATATCGTCTTTCAGAAACCTCGCAGCTACTTGTGGCTGGGAGGAGTCAGAGCAGCGTGTTCGTCTTCTCGCCTGTCTCCGAGGTGATGCAGCCGATTTTGTCTTCCAGCAGCTCGCCCCAGACGACATCGCTGACTTCGTGAATTTGATATCTGCGCTCGAGCATCGTTTTGCTGCAAGGAAGACGCCTTCTACGTTTGTGTCGCAGCTAGAATTACGTCGTCTTGGTCAGAACGAATCTATTGCTGACTATGCTGCAGATATTCGCCGCCTCACGACATTTGGCTACCCGACGGCGGATGCTGCAACAAGGGAAATGATCGGGACCCGCCATTTTCTTCGAGGGCTTGGTGATAGCTCTATGGCTATGGCTATAGGGATGCGAGAGCCAGCGACTCTCCAAGAAGCTCGGGAGATTGCTGAGCGATTTCACCATCTCCAAGAGGAATCCGGCAGAGGAGCTCGACAAATCCGATCGGTGTCAGCGACGTCAGAGGACGCGGTGAACAATGAAAAGTATATTGAGTTAAGGCGCCGCATCATCTCCATTGATGAGCGAATCGAACAACTAACTAAACTTTTTCAGCAGCCGCCACGAGATGATCCAGAACGACCAGTTAGACAGCCGAGAGAACAGCAACCTCGTGATCGACCACCACCTCGTTGCTATAATTGTCAGAAGCTTGGTCATCTTGCCCGTAACTGTCGTGTACCACCCCAAAATGGTGGCCAAATTCCTGTACCCCAGTATGTTAGCAGTCGACCGAACTGGGTGCCGCAACAACCGCCACCACCTCCACAA